AACGAGTTTGGCAAGTGTCCAGATAAACTCGCGCTGTGTGGAATCTTTGATCGCTTTCTGTATATAGCCGTTTATTCATAAATTAAAGTTTTTTTTATCCTATTAAAAGAAACGATGCGAAATTGATATTTTATGCACTGGTTTGACTTACTGATGCATAAACGGTATTGAACGATTTTGAGAGAAAGATTACCTGTGTGAACTTGAAAAACTATTAGACAGCACGTTCAGTCTTGCCAACGTTGGCCATTGGCTTTATGCCCAGCTGCACTACTTCCTGAACTTCAGCCAGCTCCTTGTTTCCTGTCTGCCATTATTGGCCAAATTGATTAATTCAGGTGTTTCTGATTATTGTTGCCATGACTACTGAGGTCAGGTACACCTGAATTAATCAATTTGGCCAATAATGACAGACAGGAAACAAGGAGCTGGCTGAAGTTCAGGAAGTAGTGCAGCTGGGCATAAAGCCCATTGGAGGGCACCAGCGGCAAAGTATCGGGAGGGGATTTCCCCCTGCACACCAAAAAAGCCTCGGTGGGTAAACCATCGGCGGGATGAATGTACAGCCACTCCAATTCATGCACAACTCCGGAGATCGGTGGAGGCACTGTGATGAACCATTTTGCTGATCCCGCTTCTTTTTTTCAAATAATTAATATCTGCCCAATCGTTGGTCCACATCAAGACCTTCACGCGTGTGCACACGTTTTTATGAGGGTGAAATGTTCTTATGAGAATACGTATGTACATGTAATAATACATGTATCTGTACATAAAGTGTCGTTCTATCGTACGTATATATAATTACGTTTTATATGCGCAGAAACGTATAATACTGACGTATTTACAGTACTAAAACGTAAAATATTTACGTATTGTCAGCACAAAAACGTAATTTATTTACGTATGAACAAATCCACCGACGTACACATATGTACGTATCACAATTTATGCATATTAATATCGTATAGCATTATGTTTTGCCTCTTTTTTTTTCTTTTTACTCACAGTTCATATACACACTACTATCATTACATATAGAGAAACTAACTTACATTATATATATATATATATATATATATATATATATATACACAATATATAGTATTGCTCCTTTGTTAATATATATATATATATAGCATATATATATATATATATATATATATATAATGTAAGTTAGTTTCTCTATATGTAATGATAGTAGTGACAAACTGATTAATCCAAACCTGGATTGTCCAATAATGGCAGACAGGAAACAAAGGAGCTGAAGGCTGAAGTTCAGGATGTAGTGCAGCTGTGCAGAAGTGTTTCGTGCTTTCATATTCTCGTTTAAAGGAACACTCCGACTTTTTGGGACTTTAGCCTATTCACCTTACCCCCCAGAGTTAGATAAGTCCATACATACCTTTTTCATCTCCGTGCGTGCTATAAGTCTGTTTGACGCACCCACCGCTAGCCTAGCTTAGCACAAAGTCTGGATGTGAATGGTTGCACTTTCATAGTAATCCAAATGAGTGGCAAAATAACGCAAACGTTTTCCTATTTACATGTTGTGATTTGTATAGTCACAGAATGTACAAATAACAAAGTCAAATGAGATACAGACATCTTTTAACCGTATAAAACCTGGGAACTATTCTCTGAAGGCGAAGCACTGCTACTTTGACGGAGTAATAACCGCATCACCGGAGACACGCTGTGGTGAGGAGCGGAGAGTTCGCTCGGTGTTTGGGTAATAGAGTCAGCAATTTATAAATAGTAAAAGCGTAGTTTAGAGTCATGGGTTTTCGCTCTATTGTAAATAGCTGCGACAGTAAACAGGGGACGTAATACCATGTTTCACAGAATTCCAACTAAAAACGCTGACTGGATGAAGAAATGGCTAACTTACTCTGGATATTTATCCAAACACACCTAAGATTATCAAGGGACATTATGTTTGCTCGGTACATTTCAATGAGGACGACTGTTCTGCCCCTCTTTGTGTTGCATTAGAGACATCTAGTGGTGTAAATTTATATTGCATTTGAGTTCTCATATTTAGTCCCTCCTCTCTTGCCGTTGTTTTTGCCCGTGTGCTTCTGACTCTGATCTACTGAGAGGTCTCGGAGCAGTTACTCTTTTCTCTTTGCCTTGGTAGTTTTTGAAGGTCTAAGTCTGTAAGTATTTCTGTAAAAAGTATATTTACTTTGCTATATTCTTTCAGTATTGTCCGTTTTAGCATAATATGTATGTTGTATTAATAGATGCTAATCGCGATTAGCATTTCTCCATAGACATCCATGTTAATGTTAGCTTAAATGCTAACTAGTCCTACAAGTCTCTTTAAAATGACTAATTTTTCTTATGGGATAGCTATATATGTTAGACTTGATTTGCATATTCACGTATATGTATATATGGGCAGTTTGTAATGCCATGTTATTATGTTTTCACAGTTTTACAAAATTGGAAAGATCCTTACTAAAGGCCTCTCTCTACTCGGTTTCCTGGTCTTTATTTATTGGGTCTTATGTTAGCTATCTGCTACGCTAACCGATCAAAGCAAGAGCAGAATAGTAAAAAGACTTAAAATTCAGTCTGCTACCATAAGAAAAGTGAGATATCAACACTGCAGCCCAGAAGTGCAGCATAGATTCAACAATCTATCATGGAGGAAAAAAGTGAAGAAAACCTCTGCTATATCCAGAAGATGGACAGTCTCACACTCCTACCATACCAGAAGCTCAACCCATTCTAGCCGTGCCTCAACACACGGTTCTGCTGCCACGAGAGCTAGAGCTAAAGCGGAAGCTGCAAAAATCAAAGCTGCATATGCACAAAGAGAAGCAGACATGCTAATAAAGCAAGCACGGTTAGAAGCAGAAGAATTTAAAAGAAAAACTGAGCTTGAAGTGGAACTGAAACGTAGGACAACTGAGTTACAGGCCAACCTCAAAGCACTGAAAATACAGGGCGCTGCTGAAGCAGCTATTACAGAGGCTGAAATCCTTGAAGCAGCTTATGAGGAAGAAGTTGGAAAACCAACACAGCAGAATGTGACCAAATTTAGCTC